ACTCGTATTCGTACTCGTTTTCTTACTCGTCGTTTGATCTAAAGGTCTCTAATTATTCTCCTGCACCCGGTTGTACGAAGGGTTGATAGCGCTATCCGACGGATAAATATTATCCAGTGGATAAATTTATTGGATAACAGCATCCACTTAACCACTGGATAAGAGTTTATCCGTTGGATAGCGCTATTCACTCTTCCTATAACCGGGTCCTGAGTATTATTTCTTTGTTTTTCAGCAACGCTATAGCAAACAGCCAATCGTTTGGCGCGAGGTGCCGATATTTTCAGTGGCTGAATATTTTATTTATATTTGAAACATCCACTGGGTTGATTTCGGAGCACAGCTAACTCGCAGATCTATCAAATTGCAATACTCCCATTTCGAGTTCGCCTTTTCTCAGTCTTAGCCTCGATTGTGTACAAATGTATTCCTTTCTTTTGAAGGTCCATTGTATAGTAAAGAGTGTACGTACTGCGCAACAGTACGAGTTGATTAAAATGCCACGGGTTTTGGTTCAGTAGCTGAATATTTAACGCACAACCGAGACTAAGGCCCCGTCCACACGTATCCAGAAATTTTTGTATCCGCAATTTTTTTTTTACGGATATGGGCTGCGTCCACACGTGTCCGCAAATTTTTGTGTCCGTATCCGCAAGTTTTACGAAAACGGATACGTGTGGACGGTGAAAACGATTCGAATACGCTGGGTGTGGACGCAAACATTTTCGTATCCGCAAAAAATAATTTACGGATGCAAAAATTTACGGATACGTGTGGACGGGGCCTAAGGCTGAGCAAAAGAGAACTCGAAACTTACAGAAAGCGAGGGAAACTAGACCAAATAAACCGGCAGAAAAGTCCTCAAATCAAGGGAGAGAACTCGCAAACTCTGATGCTTACATGTGACATCAGGAGAGTGCACTACAACTACTTTACTATTGATTCCGAAACCTTCATTAGCATTGACTAGTTTTATATCTTATAGAAGCAATTTTTCTAACTTTCTTACCCGATTTGTTTTCATTTTATAGATGGTACACATGTTACTCCCGCCTCAAATTCAAGCCCTTCCAGTATGACGTCATCAATACCCTTTAGTACTTCACTTCCGGCTATTACGTCATCAATCATGGTAAATCCTTCACAATCAAGAAGTTCTCCCGTTATTTCTACAAAAACCACTTCCTATGATAGTGTTAATACGTCATCAATGATCACGAATACTACAAAACAAAGTATGACGTCATCAATAATTGTGAATTCTTCTACGCCAATGATGACGTCAACAATAATGGTGAATTCTTCACTACCAATTGTGACATCATCAATGACGACGAATGCTACACAACCAACAAGCGTACCCGTTATTTCCACAACAACCATTTCATATGAGAGTAATATGACGTCATCAATGACCACGTATACTACACAGCCAAGTATGACGTCATCAATAATGATGAACTCTTCACTACCAAGTGTGACGCCATCAGTCATGTCGAATTTTTCACAACCATCAAGCACTCCCCTTATTTCGACAACGACTACATATAAGAGTTATATAGAGTCAACAATGACCACGGATACTGCACAACCAAGTATGACGTCATCAATAATGATGAACTCTTCACTACCAAGTGTGACGTCATCAGTGACTGTGAATTCTACACAACCATCAAACAATCCCGTTATTTCGACGACAACTTCATATGAGAGTAATATGACGTCATCAGTGATCACGAATATTACACAACCAAGTTTGACGTCATCGTTCATGGCGAATTCTTCACAACCATCAAGCACTCCCGTTATTTCCACCACAACCATTTCATATGAGAGCAGTATGACGTCATCAATGAGCACGAATATTACACAACCAAGTATGACTTCACCAACAATGGCGAATTCTTCACAACCAGCTATCAGTCCCGTTATTTCCACAACAACCACTTCATATGAGAGTAATATGACGTCAACAATAATGGAGAATTATTCACAAACAAGTATGACGCCATCAGTCCTGTCGAATTTTTCACAACCATCAAGCACTCCCGTTATTTCGACGACGACTTCATATGAAAGTAATATGACGCCATCAATGATAACGAACATTACACAACCAAGTATGACGTCATCGGTTATGGCGAATTCTCCACAACCAGCTATCAGTCCCGTTATTTCCACAACAACCACTTCATATGAGAGTAGTATGACGTCATCAATGAGCACGAATATTACACAACCAAGTATGACTTCACCAATAATGGCGAATTCTTCACAACCAGCTATCAGTCCCGTTATTT